TAAAGGTGCTGCCTTCAATAACACGACTCTACCAACTATTACAATGATTTACTTTGGACTGTTTCAGGCCTCGGGATCTAAATGAAAGCAAGCGAGCTTTAAACCTCTTTCAACGCTGTGTTGTAAATTCACTAAAATGGTCAAAAATGCAGACAAAATGCCCTTGGCCGTGCAGAGTTTTGTTTCTGCTGGGTGATGGCGAACAATGGTGGGGAGGAAACGCTCTTTAAAACGAGAAGAGGAGGCAAAGTTCAGAAAAGTTCATTCACATCGTTCGAGGGCTGGACCAGCAGCGATAGGATGGTCGGACATAAAGGTGTCAGCAACAATTTACTATTACAATTTGGCCATTAAGCTGAATCTCTTATCCACGGTGACTTACACTAAGTACAACAGTTCAGCATTTGTGGATCCAATGATTGCAAGAGGCACAGTAATAAACAAGGGCCAGGGACAACAGTACAAAGCTAAGAAGTCAACATGGTATGGAGGGAGGCTGGTTGTAAATCAGAATGGCACCAGAATAAGAATCAGCTCGTGAAAGAGGCCAAACCACATTTGCCAGTAAGGCTTCCATTGAAGTGCAAAAACTCTGGGTCTCATTTACCGAGCAAAGTGAAGACTGCAGAGTTACAGATACACGCAGCCCAAAGTTTCACACACTCGTCAGACTGACGACGCTCGTCACTGTCGTTTGTCTGACACGAACCATCAGGTTACTCAGAGAATTCGATTCCATTTGATCTACACAGCGCGAAAACACAGTCGCCTCGAGGTGAATCAGAATCAGAATCAGAATCAGAATCAGAAAGGGGTTTATTGCCAAATGTTGAGCAGGTTTACAACATTAGGAAATTGCTGCGGTGCTTCAGTGCAAACATAGTGTCATAAATAGCACTTAAATAGACATGAAAAAATAAAAGTAGGGATAAGAATTAAGAGTGCTACGTAGAAAGATATATACATGAGATATACATGAGATATACATGAGAATAAGAATTAAGAGTGCTACGTAGAAAGATATATACATGAGTGCAGGTGGTGATCAGTGCCAAACATGGAATGATGCAGTGACACAGCGTAGGGTCATGTGATAGTGGTGGGAACAGTCATATGGTTATTGTTCATGAGTCCAACAGCAGAGGGGAAGAAACTGTTCTTATGGTGAGAGGTTCTGGTGCGAATGGACCGGAGCCTCCTGCCTGAGGGGAGCAGGTCAAACAGACTGTGTCCGGGGTGAGAAGGGTCAGCTGAGGTGCTTTATATTGTAAGGTCGACCCTACAATAATACATACAGAGAAAAACCCAACAGTCATATGACCCCCTATGAGCAAGCACTTTGGTGACAGTGGGAAGGAAAAACTCCCTTTGAACAGGAAGAAACCTCCAGCAGAACCAGGCTCAGGGAGGGGCGGGGCCATCTGCTGTGATTGGTTGGGGTGAGAGAAGGAAGACGGGATAAAGACATGCTGTGGAAGAGAGACAGAGGTTAATAACAGATATGATTTAATGCAGAAAGGTCTGTTAACACATAGTGAGTGAGAAAGGTGACTGGAAAGGAAAAACTCAATGCATCATGGGAGTCCCCCGGCAGCCTACGTCTATTGCAGCATAACTAAGGGAGGATTCAGGGTCACCTGGTCCAGCCCTAACTATATGCTTTAGCAAAAAGGAAAGTTTGAAGCCTAATCTTAAAAGTAGAGATAGTGTCTGTCTCCTGAATCCAAACTGGAAGCTGGTTCCACAGAAGAGGGGCCTGAAAACTGAAGGCTCTGCCTCCCATTCTACTTTTAAATACTCTAGGAACAACAAGTAGGCCTGCAGAGCGAGAGCGAAGTGCTCTAATGGGGTGATATGGTACTACAAGGTCATTAAGATCAGATGGGGCCTGATTATTTAAGACCTTGTATGTAACATGTGTATGTTACACCAGAGTTTATTGTCTTTATTTACCTTTAACAACCAAAAGAAACACGTCGTGTAAGATAAGCGAAGGAATCGTAATTCTAGTATTAAATCAGATGACCACATCTGACTGGTAGTGATAGTGGGGATACAGAGAGAAAAGGCGAGGGGAGAGCACACGATGTGCAGTGCAGGAAAGCATTCATAGATACATGACAGGAGATATGTTTGAGGCGTGGTCCTGGTCCTGTGAGCGTGATGTGAGAGGCGTTGGTCGGGTGTGTGGAAGTGTGAAAGGAGCCAGTGGCTGTGCTTCTTTTCCCCTCACGTAGTACAACATGAGAGAAAAGAGCAGCTGTAAAGCAAAGTCATGGATTAAACGCATAAATGTACCAAAGTTCAAAATGTCTGCTGAGGGGTGTCAGGATCCAGGAGGTGAGGTGTGGCGATGCAAAAGAGCTCGAGGAGCTTAGAAAGAAAAGCGTCTGGACTTCTTGAAGTTTCCTTGAAGACGTTTCATCTGAGAAGCTTCTGCAGTTCTGAGAGCAGCTGGTCCAGACACTCCTCAGACTACGATCTTCTCGATCAGTGCTCAAAATGGTTAGGATTTGTTTTAAGCACAATGAACTCTCTGTGCTAACCAGATAATCTGATCATTAGCTCCTCTGCTAGCTCGTAATGTGTTCTTCGAACAATCGTCTGCAATGTCGGCTGCAGTAGCTGCTGTTTCTCACTTTTTGACATAAACACACTTAAACAGTAATCCTTTAACAGTCTGTTATCATGAGTGAAGACACATGAATGCTATGATACTGGACTGCTTTTATACTTCTTCTGTAAATCTTTACTGGCTTGGTGCCCTGAAAGTGAACTGACCAGTATGAACTCTGGTTCACCCTCTGGCTGCTCATCTGCCAGGGTCATCAGGGCACATCGTTGCTTTGCCTGCTTGTATGGATTCCAGATTTTTCCTCTGTTGCTTTCCTCCTCGCAACAATTGATAAAGAGGTGTGTGTTTGTGTTATCACTACATTTACAATCACTCTTACATCATACTCACTGTTTCTGCCTTTAACCCAGACGTTTTACATTCCCTGGATTTCAATGTAAAAATATGCAATCTTACAATAAATTGTATCAGATGTAACTTTAAAAAATCGAGCCAAAGTAAAACTGTGTTCCTCCTGACGGCCGGCAGCAGGCAGAAACGGTCAGGTTTTAATAGAAGTCTGAAATCTGTGACTATGATAAACACTTTGCTGATAGATTTTCAGTCTCAGTCATTTTGAATAATATAAGCGTAAACACACTCTGCTGGGTCCACTGCAGTAGCAAAAAAGGACAATGCAGCAGGCGATGCAACACATCAGTGAAAGTTCCCGACCTCTCAGTGTGTTGTTTCATCATGTCCACTTTCAGAAGCTCTCAGCTGATGGGTGGCATTGTTGTGTCTGTGTCCATCTTTTATATACAGTCTATGAATAGAAAACACAAATAGTTAATTTTAAATAGTCAAAAAAATGTGTTTAAATAGAGATAAATAAAAATAACCACATTTTAATGAATATATAAAAATCTACATTTATTGTATGTAAAAGCAAAGCATTCAGGCAGCACTGTGTGTCAGAGGTAAACCAGCAGTGAGCTGGTATTAGTCATCAGTCTGGTTAAACCAGATGCAGAGAGCAGCTTTAAACTGTTTGTTGGAATAGGAGGGACTGGCTGTAAACTGAGGGAACTCTACAGGGTCTGCTGCAGAGCAGAGGGTACTGGAGGACCTGGTACGTGAGAATAAGTGTTGCTGCATTTGATCGCAACAGTCTACTTAGAGAGATGACACCAAGGGTCATCTCTCCAAGGGCCCCCAGAATGTCCAAGACGAGGCAGGTGGGAAGTGGGCAGACAGGTAGAGAACTGGTAATACTAGTACATTAGCTGGTTTTGGCACCCAGAGAAACACTGGTTACACAGGGGGAAGCACAGGACACTGCAGAAAGGAGACCCGATTATCACTATGTGGGAAAAGACAGGCTGGAGGAATTCTGCCTAGAAACACCATAAGTGGAAGGATGGCCATGGCAGGAGGGCTGCACCCACGGACGGCGCAGAGACTGTGTTGGCTGAGCGAAGTCACAACAGACGCTAACAAATGCAGAAAACACAAAAACTATGTTTTTAAAAAGTGTACATATCTGCCTGAACTGGGATATGTGGTGTTTCCTTTCTGTTCAAATGTCATTTCAATCACTTCTCTATGCACACGACGATTTGGAGGGTTTGGAAGAAATGACTCCATTTCTGTCTGAATGAATGACAGATGAAATCTCTTAGAAGTAAGTGTGTTTTGATGAACAGCTGATTCTACGCTGATGTCAGAGTCAAGTGTTTTCAAGGATAACAATCAGGTGTTAGAGAGAAAAGAGACTAAATCCAAAGTATGACCTAAACACGTTTAGAAAGATGATTTATGGCCACAGCATCTGGACTCCACCAGCCCAGAGTGTACAAGGAGGGAATTAATGACCACTGGACGGCAAGAAGACAGCCTCTTTGCAGTTTTTGGTGGAGAAGCATCCCAGCATAAGAGCATGTCTAACATGCTGGAGCAGGATGGCTCATCACTGAGAAAATGATGGAACATGGAAATATCCCAAAGCTGCAGAGTTTTGTTTCCAGCTCTGAGTCTCTAAATGTAAACCTTGAACCAGCACTGAGAAGTCAACCTTTACGAGACGCTGACAGAATACTGGTTTAAACGATGTAATCCCATTACATTTTAAAGTCAGACTTTTGGGCCAGGTTTTTAGTCTAACTTTATAAAAGACGACATTTGTTAAACTAAAAATCCACAGTCTACATATGCATGATGATTTTCAGTTGTGCTTCCATAGATTTATTTTCTGCCTCATTATGCACTCATGGAGGAGGCTGAACCTGTTATATAATAACTCGAAACCAGAGTTACAACCAGCATCATGGACATTACAAAAGCCCATGTAGCATACTGAGCTTACTGGTGCACAGACACTCAACAGCATCTAACCAGACATGTGCGATCATTTTTGGTTCAGTGAAAGACGAAAAACAAACGCTTCTGCAAATTTGTTTTATTAAATAAAACCCAAACATCAGCTGAGGGCCAAGAGAAAGGCATATTTATATTAACAGACACATTAAATATGTACAGTCCTGTAGACACAGCTCACAGGTCCAGAGTGCCTCTCATTCGTTTTGCTCAGCTCAAGAAAAAGAATAAACACAAATCCAAAGTATAAATAGTAGAATATAAAATTTGCTCTTGTGTAATCTACACTATGTACAGTTAATGCTTAAACACTGACACCAAGCTAAAAGGAACATCCTCCTGTTCATGTGAGTGAGTCTGCAAACAAATCTTTTATGACTTTTGGGGAAAATAAAAATAAATCTGAGATGTTTATTCGGTTTAATTTTGTACATAGCTGGTGAACTTGGTTGGCAGATTGTCTTCGGGATAGACAGTAGGTCCTGTTTTCATGGTTGGAGGCCCATTTAAAAGAGTCCAGTGACACTTTGTTACCACCTCCACCAGGAACACCTTCAGCAGAACCTTGGCAAATTCCTTCCCAATGCACATCCTGGAGCCACCACCAAAGGGGATGTACTGAAACCTGGAGGAGTCCGCACACGGATCGGACATGAAGCGCTCTGGCTGGAAGTCTTCTTTGTCGGGGAAGATCTCTGCCACATCATGAGTGTCGCAGATACTGTAGACGACGTTCCAGCCTTTGGGAATCTGGTAACCCTGAGGAGGCAAGTGGAAATCATTAGTGAGCCGCTTCTGTCATGAGTCTAAAAGCTTCCGTGTTCATGTTACTTATGAAATTGTTGCCAGCTTACATTGAGCTCAAAGGTCTTGAGGGCCACTCTGAAGCCTCCAGGCACAGGAGGGTTGATCCTCAGCGTCTCTTTGATGACACAGCCTGTGTATTTCAGCTGCTCCAAGGACTCGATGTTCAGGCTCTGTAGGTCCATGCCCTGCGCCGCCTGAACACAGAAAGCGATATCCAACTGTTCTGTGAAGCTGCAAAGTCAGCTGCCCGTCTTTGTTTTCCCTCAGTTTTCTAAGCTTAGTCAATGCGCACAACAAAGGAACCCACACAGCCACAGGAAGAACTCCACAGAAGAAGTCTCCAAGTGGGGTTCAAACCAGAAGCCTCGATGCTGTGAGGCAGCAGTGCTAACCACTGATGGCCACTTGAGGTTCTTCAGAAGCTTCAGTATGGATGGAGCTCCACAGTAGTTCTGTGATGTGCAAAATTATTAAAGTAACTTTATTATAGTTTAATTTAACCAGAAATACAAGTCTTGGGAAATCTAAAGCATCAGACTGGACAGCAAAGACTCGGGACTGTTATTACACAACAAGTCAAAGCTGTGGAGATCCAGAAATTCTTTTATTGCTGCCATATAACCTGCATCATTATAACTGCATTAATAACATTCTTTACAGCAATATTTCATCTAATAATATTTCTCAGTCTTGATACTGCATTACAGCCGTTTATTGAAGATGTCCATTTGAGGATCCTTCCGTTATGTTAACTTTTATTACAAGTACAGTCAGAAGTATTTCATACACATTGCATATCTGTGCTTATTTTGAGTTGATGTTCGGGTCATTAAGGGTTTTAAGCTTCACTGGCGTGACTGTCCAGGTGATCCATGCTGAGGGAAACTAGAACATAGAAGGATAGCTGCAATGCATGCTTACAGTACATATAATCTAGGAATAGGCCTGAGCAGAGGCCCAAATGTTTCCAGCTTCTTGTTGCAAACCTGTTGCATTTTATTCTACTTGGTAACAGATGACTGGAGGCGATAACCAGCCCTCTCTGAGGGCTTAAGATTATTACCTTGTATGGAAGGTGTTATCAAAATGAGAAGTTCTATGTCTGTTTATAGCCATTAAAGATGTACAAGATGTGACTAATGCCTGGAACCTATTGTGGAACCTATTTTAATCTGTCATTGACGGCATGGGGGGGCGTGTACCCCACTGCTTTATAAGTGTCCACAACATGTATTTTGGTCAGAAGACATATGTTGATATTTTCTCCGGGCTGTTAATAAACTCAACGTTGGCTTGCACTTTTCTGGGGCCTCCGTGGTTTGTGACACTGCTCTACATTGATCGATTTCGTGACAAAGCTCAGCACCAGGTGATAGATGGGTATGAAAGTCCAGACCTTGTTTTTACAAAATAAGCTAAAAACAGTCCCTGTAAACAAGCTTTACCTTGTCCTCGAGCTCCTGTCTCAGTTTATGCACTACTTTGGGGTTTAGACCCAGGAACATGACCAGAGAGGTGGCTGTGCTGGCTGTGGTTTCATGCCCCCCAAACAACAGCTCTGTGGCAGACTGCTTGATGGCCTGCAAACAGAAATACACTTACAGTGGCTCATATGGACAGAAATCGGTTTTGCAGACGTGCGTTGCAGCAGGTGACCTCCTCATTACCTGCATGCTGATGGGCTCTTTGTTCTTGTTGCTGCTGTCTATGAGCTGCTGCAGGGCGTCTCTGGGTTTCCACTCCTGGTCTGACTCCTGCACCTTCTTCTTGATGTTCTCCTCAATCTTAGAGTGGATGAAGTTCCTTGCTTTCAGACCCTGCAGGAGAGGAAGCAGGAAAGGTGGGAATAGAGGGGAAAACATCAGATGAGGGTAGGCGAGAGAAGATCAAATGCACCCTAAACGATTTCATCTTATCCGTAAAGTCTTGCTATTATTTGGACTAACTGTACAATTTTAAAATATTGGCATTTCATGCTTCTTACCCTGTACAGTCCACTGAAAGGTACATCAATGGGCAAAGAGAACAGGTTCTTGATCATTTCCTCGAAAGCCTCCACCAGCTCGTGCTCATTGGTTTGAATCTGCTCCGGCTCAAAGCCCAGCAGGACCCTCATGGCAATGCGGAACATCAGCCGCTTCATCTCTGGGTAGACCAACACGCAGGAGTCACTTGCCAGCCATTCCTGCACTGCAGCCTGAACTTCCTCCTGGATAACGGGGATATAGAGCTCTAAAGCCTCCCTGGAAAAGGCGCGCAGGATAGCCTGAGGGGGCACAGGAGTGATGATGGAAGAGCAGACTTAGTGAGACCATTTCACCTCAGTGCTGGTGTCAAAGACAAGTATTCTGTCCTTAAATGTTTTTACTCAGGCAATATGCCACAAATAACATTAGAGCTCGACAAGTCAGCAGCTGACATCACTTCATTTACACTGATTCCAGGTCAGTGTGTTAGCAAAACTTGAAAAAGACGATTTGCATCTGGAACCAGTTTCAGAATAATTATGCAGACAAATGCAAAGCAGCTCAAGTCCGACTTTTAATGTTTAGATATGGTTCCAGCTCAATGCACTTTATATAGTGAAAGACTGTCACATTATTCCCCCTGCCAAGCTCCTGGCAGATGTGCAAAGAAATGACTCTTTTAACAGGAAGAGATCGCCAACAGATCCAGGCTCACAGAAGCAGCTACGTAGAACGACCTGCGACCAAATGGGGGGTGAGGGGGAAAGACTAGAGCAAAGAGGAGAGACCACAGCGAGACTGAGGACAAAGACGTGCAGAACATGAAAGAGGAATGAGTCTATAGCAGCATAACTAAGCTGGTTCAGCATCACCTGCTTGAGTCCTGATTTGAAGCTTTATCAAAACAGAAACATTCAAGCTGGGTTTCAAAAGCAGGGTGGGTGGTGTGGGGTGCACAACTCCGTGTGGGCCTTCTGCTCGACAAAATCCAATTGGTCTAAAAATGCTATGGTCAAAAAACCTCGACCACACCTCGCTGAATAAAGCAAAAACATTTGGGGTCCAACAGCCTGCCGACCAGTTTCCAGCATTTTGCTTTATTACAGTTCTTGTGACATTCAGCACGCCTTCACCTGATCCCGGCTCAGCTGGCTTTTATTTCTCGTTACTCTTTAGTTTTACTATAATTATTTGCATGTTTTACATCACTGCTTGTTGCAGCTTTAATGCCTCAGCACATCTGAAGCTTAACCTAAATTATAAGACTCCTCCGAGGCACAGTGCGTGCCGAAATGTGGGTCGCACGTGCGATTCAACGGGTTTCATCTATATTCAGAGACTGCTATAAACCATCTATGGACATTTTTGTTTCTGTAGTAAAACTTGGCATATTTGCTTAAACAGAATCAATGTTAAATGAAAATTGCATTTCCCCCTCACATTTGAAAAAGTAAGCATTATTGTGAACTACAACTATAGACCTTTCAGAGACCATCACTGGGTGTCTTTTGGATTCTCTTTATTAGTATGTGCTCAAATGTGGGACTTTACAGGACACCAACTAGCAAAAACGTTTTGATACAGCCGTCCCAAAATACGGATCCTGATTCACTCTTTTGAGAATCTGGGGCTTTTATGTTTACAGTTTAAGATATTCATGTTCAAACACTGCCACAGATTTCAAAAACAAACAGAAACATGCAGGAAGTAGGTGGATGGAGCATTCTCTGGAGGATTTGATATGAAGCTAAGATCGCAAAAAAACCAAAGTCTAAATTCTAAACGATTTTCGATTCGATTCTAAAACAAATTAGAGACAGAAAATGTTCTGAGAATGTGTTTGTATGGAATGACCCTGGTATTAGAAAGACAAACTACATTGTGTCAGGGGACATCAAGTCTCTGCTTTCATAAAATGACAGAAAGTTTCTTTAAAAAACAAAACAACAACAAAACTCACTACAATGACACTGCGGCAGTAGCTGTCAAATCTGGAGGTATAGTGTGACAGATATGACCGTGGCATGATGATATTGAGCTTCAGCACCTGGAGGTAACTGGTGCAAACTGGTGCCATGTCACAAACCTGAACAGAACCGAAGTGACCGAGCTCGAGTTTCCCGGTTTTTGTAGAGAGGAGACGCATTTGTTCAGAGTTTGGACGCAAACCTGATGTAACCCCCCCGCTGTAGCCAGTGCTCCCTCTACGGAAAGGTCAAAGTAACTTACTTTTTTTTTAGTCTTGTGCTGAGCTCCGTGCATGTTGGAGAGCGTCTCCGTGCCCAGGATCGCGCGAACAGAAGCGGGCCACTGCGCGGACACCAGCCTGTGCTCCCCCAGGAGGATCTGCTTGACGTTATCCGCGCCAGTCACGCGCACCGTGCGGTTCCCGAACAGGTGTGTGCGGTAGATGTAACCGTACTTCTCCCGCTTCATCCGAAGAAATGTTTTCCTCTGTGAACATATGGCCACGCAAACAAACTGTCACGTGTGGATGGTTTTACCCTCACGCACGATACATTAAATATACATGAACACATTTATGACAGTGGGTTCATTTTAATTCTACACTTCCCATAAGCTCCGGGAAACCCAAACTTTCACGCTTAAGTTGAATATAATATTTCATCCTCCGCGTGATGACAAGAAGCAGCGTTTACCTGGAGGAGGAGTTGCAGCGTCTCTCCAATGAAAGGCAAGCCCATGGACCCGGGGGGCAGCGGGAAAGGGCAAGTCGGGTCTCTGCATCGGAGCGTGTAAATCTCCCACAGCTTCACGGCCAACAGGAATAGCAGAATGGGAAGCGCTACGGTGCACAAGAACGTGGTCAACAGTGCATTCACGACCATGTTGCAGCGTCTCGTGGGCCCGGTGAAGACTTCAGGTGGAGCTCAGTCTGTGTCTGGGACTCCGGTGTGCCAAGCCGCAGTTTTTATAGGCTGGCAAGCCCGTGGGCAGCCCATTACCTTCTCCTCCCTCCGATAAATTAGTTCACGCAAAGTTCATCTTTAATTGTGGGTGTTGCTCGGCCCCGCCTCCGACCTGTGCTGGCTGACTCGCCTCACCATTTGTTCCAGAGGCCACGGCTTTAGTCCCTACCTCCTGTTGCACGCACACAATCCTCGGCGGATTTCACTGAGAAAAGGTGATGATTCCCACCGAGACAATGGAAGTCCCAAGACGCCTTTGTTGGCAATAAGCAGCTACTTTACACACTCATTACCTTGGCTTAAGCCCCGCTTGTAGGAGCGGTAATCATGCGCCGAGTATTCAGGAGCAATGACCTTTCCAATTTTCAGAAAATGTAAAAGCGGCGCTTAATCCCTCTCCCCGTGGGTGCCGTGGGTGCCATTCATAGTTAAAAGTCCGAGTTGTTTTTCTTTCATAGCCTGTGACCGCTGTGGCTTACCCTCCTGCCTTAATTATAAATCAATACGTGAATAAGGCAGCACGTGACTATCAGAGATGAAGGTGGAAGCTGCGCTGCGCGGTGACGCGCGGCTTCTCTTTCAGCCACTTTCTAATCTCGAAGAAGACTTTAACCTGCCGTCAGTCTGTCCTGCCGTGTGCGTGTTATAAAAATGATATCTCTCTGAGTGGGTTCAAACACGGGTCACACGCAGGGTTATTCCCAGGTTACGCTGCTGCACGCAGAGTAAACACCGAGCAGAGAACGTCCTCGTCAGCCGAGCCGCTGCGTTTGGACTCTTTGTTTTTACGAGCTGCCATAACTTCACAAGGGGTGTGTGTGTGTGTGTGTGTGTGTGTGTGTGTGTGCGAGCGTGCGTGCGTGCGTGTGCGCGCTCAGCCTGACAGAGACAACTTGGCTGCTGTTTTTACAGCGAAGCATTACACGGATGGATCTTTCTGTTCTGGCTGACTGTGCGCGCCCTGAGGTTCACCCCTGTGGAAGGTGCGGCAGCTATCACCATTACAGCCAGGACGTATAATCGGATCTCCCGTCACGGCCTGCTAGAAAAAAAGACTTTTTCTTTAACTTTTGCATGGCTGTAGCGCACCAGGTAAATCTCTAGGATACAATTAAAGACATACTTGGGTTGTTTTTTCAGCCTTGTTGTGCAGTAAGACCAGGACCAGAACACCAAGACCAGGATCAGTGTCTCTCTTCCCATGTCTACAGATTCATAAAGGTGCAAAACTGATTTGTTCTACATTTCTTTACAAGTGAAGTGTGACTAGTACAAACCAGGTGACACCACCTTAGCTGCAGGTGGGGCCAACAACAGGCCCTACCTTTGTTTCTTTTGACAAACAGGACCCTTGACCTTTACATTGGGATAAAAAAAAGGAATGCTTTATTACAGTTTCTCAAAATCAACAAGACAATATCAAATATATTGTTATACTAAAATATGAATACTAAAGACTACATTTCAAATTCAGTTCAAATTAATAAAAAACTAAAACAAACACGAGGTAATATTAGCGTATAAATAGCTGGATTTCCTGGAAGTAGCCTGTTATTTTGGGAAAAAGCTGAACAGTGAACAAGAAAATACCTGAAACAACATTTCCAGATGTTGTTTTGTGTGTCTGTGTAGTAGGGTGGGTCACATGGAATTAGGCACACAGCCTCAACAGGTCAAGTGGAGTACTTTGGATGCAAACGTAGGATCTTTATATCTGTAAAAAAAATTTCATGGAAGAATATTTGTCTGTGCTGTGCACAGCTGTCACAGAGAAGTCTAGTCCGAGCCTCACCTCTCAGCTGTCATGTGCACTCTGTGCTCGGTGACAGAGTTACTGGGCACACTCTGCTGGTTTCCAGGCTCCAAGTCACATTTCCCCTGATAATAGTCACTAATGTAAAACACTGTGACATATATCATATTGTGATGTACCTTGGACACCAGTGTGTTGCTCAGCTTTCTGTTAAAAGCACTGTGCAAAGCTGCTTTTAGAGTAAGTTACATTTTCATGTCATCGTTTGATCATTTGCAGAATGCTTCTGACAACCAGAGTTATCATGTATGAGAGAGAGAGCGCTTTGTGATGGACTTTCAGGGTGAATGGGTTTCCAGCTGGTCATGCTGTGGATGGTGAGTTTTTCACACGACAATGTGAATGTGTGAAACAGCATTCTGCTGTTGAGGTGTTATGAGGTGGGGAGAGGGGACAGGAGGTGAAGGGAAGTTCAAGTGTAAAGAATGATTCCTCCATGTAAACGCCCACACAGTGACTCTGCTGCTGTCATAGTTGATGCTGCATGCATAGCTCCCAGGCTAACACCTTCCATCACAGTCTGTTCTTATACACTTCAGCTTTAGCCACAACACAACTTTATACAAAGCTTCAGTTCAATTCAGTTTATATAGCACCAAATCAAGCAACAGTTGCCTCAAGGTGCTTTATATCGTAAGGTAAAGACTTAAAGGATATAACTTTTAAATGTAGTTCATCTGCTGTAGGTGGATTTTAGGCTTTCTTCTTTTGTCGTCCATTTGTGTTGTTTTTAAGGACACACTGCACAACAGGCTGAGATGTGGCAGGTTTTTATTTACTGATAGTTTTTCAACTTGTTGGTGCAAAAATGTAGTTTTATGCATGCATATATCTTTGGCATTTTTCATACATTCAGCTAAAGAACTAAGTGTCTCTTTTTTCAATTAAATTGAATTTAAAGTTTTATTTATATAGCACCGAATCACAACATTAAATGCTTAGTAAATGCTTACTCTGTAACCACATGCTTAAAGAGTAAGAATCTGCTTAGATACCATATTTCTAAGCTTTTCAGGGCCGACCGAGTACAATAACCTCAGTTTTATCTGAATTAAGAAGCAGAAAGTTAGCGGCCATCCAGGTCTTTATGTCTTTAAGACATTCCTGCAGTTTAACTCATTGGTGTGTGTTATCTGGCTTCATGGACAGATAGAGCTGGGTGTCATCTGCATAGCAGTGAAAATGTATGCTATGTCTTCTAATGATGCTGCCTAAGGGAAGCATGTATAATGTAAACAGAATTGGTCCTAGCACTGAACCCTGTGGAACTCCATAATTAACCTCAGTGTGTGAAGAGGACTCTCCATTTACATGCACAAACTGGAGTCTATTAGATAGATATGATACAAACCACTGCAGCGCAGTACCTGTAATACCTACAGCATGTTCTAATCGCTCTAATAGGATATTATGGTCGACAGTATCGAACGCTGCACTGAGGTCTAGCAGGACAAGCACAGAGATGAGTCCACTGTCAGAGGCCATAAGAAGATCATTTGTAACCTTCACTAAAGCTGTTTCTGTGCTGTGCTGAGCTCTGAAACCTGACTGAAACTCTTCAAATAAACCATTCCTCTGCAGATGATCTGTTAGCTGTTTGACAACTACTCTTTCAAGGATGTTTGATATGAAAGGAAGGTTGGAGATTGGCCTATAATTAGCTAAGACTGCTGGGTCTAGAGATGGCTTTTTGAGTAAAGGTTTAACTACAGCCAGCTTGAAGGCCTGTGGTACATAGCCGATCATTAGAGATAGGTTGATCATATTTAAGATCGAAGAATTAATTAATGGCAGGACTTCTTTGAGCAGTTTTGTAGGAATGGGGTCTAAAAGACACGTTGAGGTTTGGAGGAAGTAATTATTGAAGTTAACTCAGATGTTCACGCTTCCCTGATAAACCCCTTGGTCCCCTAAAAACATTAATATCGATAATATTTCTGCCAGAAAAATATTTAGAAACAGTATTAATAGTAAAAGTAACAATAATAAATAAACACTTGATGCATTTATTGTAATCACAGTCACACTTTGCTTCTTCCACATTCTGAAACCTGAACAGGACGATTAGCGTACGCGCCGTGGTTTTGAGGTCCAGATATATCATCATTTGCTTTTGTTCATTTAAACCTTGCAGGTCATGCACAGGCAGGGTTTTCTTCAAACTGGACCAGTGAAAATACAATAATAATAATTAGTCTACAACACTGATGATTAAACCTACTATAGAAATGTTTCAAGTTTGTCAGTCTACTGAAGAGTTCACAAATTCATGAGGAAAGTCTATTTTAAACTGTAGAATATGATTTTCAGACCTGAGTCTGGCTTGGTGAAAAGAGAACACGTTTTTTTAAACGTCTCGAGGTTGTGTCTTGTCCGTAGAGCCAAACGTTGTCCCTCTTGGCTTTGCTGTTTGTGCTGTTGCAGATCATATTTAGATGATAACCCCCCAAAAACACAAATAGACTTAGCACAAGCTACTGAGACCCCTGATAGTTCAATTAATAAACTGTTGAACTGCCAGTAAGTTTTTCACGGGCGCAACCCACAAATTCATGTTCCTTACAAATGTGGCAGCATTTAAGACTTTCCAGTGGCCTCAGATTTAATGCCAAAAACACTGTTGCAACAGAGGAATAACCAACCAAACATGGTTTTGTGCAAAGTTTATTAATGTGTGTTAATACACACACACAACACACCACACACACACACACACACACACACACACACACACACACACACACACACACACACACACACACACCTATAGAAGAGAGTGCACAATCAGCGAGCACCACATTTCACATTGGCTGACCTGCTTGTGACCTCGACATCTCAGTGAACTCTGGAGCACAACCAAGTTCACTGTCCGTTAAGGGGTTAGGGTTATAATGACGGAATCATTTCACTGCTTTACATTTGTTTAATATTTCAGTAAGTCAACTGAGAAGCGCTGGAGAGCGATTCTTGAAGATACTTACAGGAATAATAAGAATGCTGCCTCAGAGAGTTCAGACTGTACTGAAGGATCAATGTGTTTCTTTACATACTGTGTGTTTGTGTTATGTTTGCACGTAATCACTGCACCTATTTCCATCATCCTGTCCAAATTTAAAGCAAATAGCATTTATTAAATTGGAGGTGCAGTAACAGGCAAAGGACCCTTGCACAAATGCTTGCAGTGGGTTTTGAATCAAATGTTTTCTGCATCTTCTGTACTGCTTTACAAAACAGCATCATATCATTGTTTCCTGTGATGTGAGTGCACCGCAGAAACACAAGCTACCGAGCCTCTGGTTCTGGTCCTTGTCTCCTGTAGCTGTGGGCCCACTAATACACCTTTCTTTGAACAGACGGATGTTGAATCAGTGGACTTCATCAATAAGGCTCC